TACAGTAATACAGACAGCATGAATGGTGGTAAGCAGTAATTTAATGGTATGTGTATGGTGGTATATATGGTCGAGTGGTGTACTATAGTATGTTAATGGTATTTTGTGGTGGAGTAAATACGTTGATTTCAGTGGTGTGTCAGAATGGTTTTCTATGGTAATGGCACATGGTGATATAATGACAAGTGATAGACCTGCTGGTGTGGAAGATGTGCTGTGGTATGTTGATTGTATTCTGTGGTGGACTAGGTGGTAAGGGAACTATACCTGGAAATTCAGTTGCAATTTTAACAGTGTGAAATGCCACATCGATTATAATGGTTTTGTATGGTGATGGCAATGGTAACGGAAGATGAATGGCAGCATGAATGGTGGCTAGTGGTAAGTTAATGGTATTGCTGGTATGAATGGTATATGGTATGGTATTTCAGTGGTATTCTGTGGTGGATTAAATGGTAATTCAACTGTGAATGGTAAATTAGTTGTTTTGTTTGGTGTGTAATGCTACATCAGAATGGTTTTCTATGGTGATGGCAATGTAATGATGAATGGTATGGTAAGTTGATGGTACTTGTAAGGTAATCACAATGGTGACATTTTATAATCGAGTTGTTGACAGGCTTGTGTGAATGGTATGCCAACGGTATTCTGTGGTGGAGTAAATGGTGACAAACTGTGAATGGTAAATTAGTTGTTAATTTGAATAGAAATGCTACATCATAACGGTTTAATATGATAATTGCAATGGTAATGTAAAGATGAATGGTAACAGCCTGAATTAGTAACAAATACGTAAATGGTTCTTGAATGACAGTCTTAACGGTAATATGAGTTTCTATTCATTTTCATTTTTTTATTCATTACTTGAGTAAATGGTAATGTGGTGAACTGAATGGTAATAGCACGGATAGAATGGTAGTCTGAATGGTAATAAATACCCCCAAAAAGAAAGTCCACACTCACTGAAGGCAATAAAGAAAATATAAATCTGATCGTCTCATGAGGACGTCATTTAAAAATTGTCGATTCTCCATAATCTTTTCTGGAAACGCACAGCTAAGTGCACGTTGCCAACGCAAATTAATAGTGGGCACGTAGAAATATGATCGAGTATTTAATCAGCTACAGGTTGATACCTCATTTTCCTGCAAGACTGTAATTTGGCCAAGAGTGACAAGGGTTTTCAAGAAAATTTAAGCTTAACTGAGTATCAGTTTCCATTTGTTAAGACACAACAATCAGTTGGCAGCTTCATATGCATCATCTTGACAAACATTCTTCCATGAGTTTCCACAATGGCGGGCAGCCATTGCACATAGTGATGTATGCATTTACTCGGGCACGCGCTTGTGTTGTGTTGGGCGCGAGGCACAACACATGTCATGAGGAACATGTTGGTCAGAAGTATCCACAAGTAACTGGAGCGAATCTGTGACGTCATGGCAAGTATTCGCGCTGCGAATTCGCAAAAGTTGAACATACATGTATTTTCAACTCGGGCGAATTTCGCAGCGAATGTTTCATGACGTCAAATTCGCTTCGCATTCGCATTCGCATAAAGTATGAACCGGGCTTTAACGTAAACGATCCAAAGCATGGATTTTTGGGGGATTTCAGGACCTGGTGCCCCTTTAACAGTTGCAAACTACCACTATCATATTGTTGTCACATAGTTGTTACATATAGTTCCTACTGGGAACCGGTCGGGCAGAGTGGGTATTGGGTATAAAAGTCAGGAGTGGTAGGTTTAGGTGTATATCCAACTGGTAACGGGTCGGAGGAGATCAACATGGGCAAACAAATGATGGGGGTCCTTGGTTTTATTCCATTTGTGCAGATAAGTCTCTATTAAATTTGTTTTCCCTGCCCCATTTTGGTTTGGCTTAATAATTTTTTTGGGGTTCATGCATGTTTGTGCCTTTTAACTCCAGCTCCCTTGCACCATTTCACTGTACTGATATCTACTCTGCTCAGCCATTGGTACAAACCTGTTATATATCGAGCCACGCCCTATTTCATGTATGACATTTTTTTAATAACCACAGACTCTTTTCATTTTTGTAATTAGTAATTACGAGCTGCGTCACGCGGCCTGGCGCGATGCGCAAATTATCATGTTGCTTTGATTTACGCGCATACTTTATACGTATCCCACGAATGTTCAGGCCAGCGCTAATGCACTTGTGCACCACTATAGTTTTTTGTTTCCCGCATGGCGTATGGGACCAAATGATTCCAAATAACGCGCGCAGTGAGACCGCTTTCTTGCCGACGCTTCACGCCTGTGGTGAGTGTTAGCATGATATGCGCAGCATTTTGCTCACAGGCGCAAAGCAAATGTCGTGTCTACATGTAGGTTTTATTATACATGTCTATGGCGCCAACTGATACATGTAGATCCAAATTTCTCGTGTTCACTGAATCAACTTTACAGTAAAGCATTCACACTGTACATGTAGTTATAATAGTTTTAAAATATATTGCATTTATAATATTTGCTTAACACATATGCATTATTTAAATAATGTTTTATCTCACTGTATCAAATTGTATTGTATTTGTAATGTATTGTATAATTATACATGTTTGTAGTCATTATTTATTGTATGCCGGGCCCCAATGGAGACCAGTTTTAAACTGTTTGGGCATACCCTGGGTAAAGAAATGGAAGAAATATAAATAAATAAAGCCGGTCGTTTTCAAACATGGCTGATGCTCAGGTGAACAGAGCAAAGTTTCTTAAGTTTTGTGAAGAAAAGTTCCCGTTGACTAATTCAACGAGCAAAACAATCCACAGGGACAAGGGTAGGAAAGTTATAGACTACCTCATCAATGGTACAAAGGGCAGCAATAATGCAATGCCCTACTGGGTAAAGAGAAGGAAGCTCAGCGTTCAGCAGTTCCCAAGCCTGGCAAAGTTATAGACTACCTTATCAATGGTACAAAGGGCAGCAATGCAATGCCCTATTGGGTAAAGAGAAGGAAGCTCAGCTTTCAGCAGTTCCCAAGCCATGGCAAAGTTATAGACTACCTCATCAATGGTACAAAGGGCAGCAATGCAATGCCCTACTGGGTAAAGAGAAGGAAGCTCAGTGTTCAGCAGTTCCCAAGCCTGGCAAAGTTATACACTACCTCATCATTGGTACAAAGGGCAGCAATGCAATGCCCTACTGGGTAAAGAGAAGGAAGCTCAGTGTTCAGCAGTTCCCAAGCCTGGCAAAGTTATAGACTACCTCATCAATGGTACAAAGGGCAGCAATGCAATGCCCTACTGGGTAAAGAAGAAGGAAGCTCAGCGTTCAGCAGTTCCCAAGCCTGGCAAAGTTATAGACTACCTCATCATTGGTACAAAGGGCAGCAATGCAATGCCCTACTGGGTAAAGAGAAGGAAGCTCAGCGTTCAGCAGTTCCCAAGCCTGGCAAAGTTATACACTACCTCATCAATGGTACAAAGGGCAGCAATGCAATGCCCTACTGGGTAAAGAAGAAGGAAGCTCAGCGTTCAGCAGTTCCCAAGCCTGGCAAAGTTATAGACTACCTCATCATTGGTACAAAGGGCAGCAATTATGCAATGCCCTACTGGGTAAAGAGAAGGAAGCTCAGCGTTCAGCAGTTCCCAAGCCTGGCAAAGTTATAGACTACCTCATCAATGGTACAAAGGGCAGCAATGCAATGCCCTACTGGGTAAAGAGAAGGAAGCTCAGCATTCAGCAGTTCCCAAGCCTGGCAAAGTTTTAGACTACCTCATCAATGGTACAAAGGGCAACAATGCAATGCCCTACTGGGTAAAGAGAAGGAAGCTCAGCGTTCAGCAGTTCCCAAGCCTGGCAAAGTTTTAGACTACCTCATCAATGGTACAAAGGGCAGCAATGCAATGCCCTACTGGGTAAAGAGAAGGAAGCTCAGCGTCCAGCAGTTCCCAAGCCTGGGACTGCACGATGTGCTCTGTCAGGAAATCAATGAGGTAAGAAAAACAAACGATGGGGTTCTATTATATGTCTATGGCACCAACTTAAAGCCGGTCATTTTCAAACATGGCTGATGCTCAAGTGAACAGAGCAAAGTTTCTTAAGATTTGTGAAGAAAAGTTCCCGTTGACTAATTCAACGAGCAAAACAATCCACAGGGACAAGGGTAGGAAAGTTATAGACTACCTCATCAATGGTACAAAGGGCAGCAATGCAATGCCCTACTGGGTAAAGAGAAGGAAGCTCAGCGTTCAGCAGTTCCCAATCCTGGCAAAGTTTTAGACTACCTCATCAATGGTACAAAGGGCAACAATGCAATGCCCTACTGGGTAAAGAGAAGGAAGCTCAGCGTTCAGCAGTTCCCAAGCCTGGGACTGCACGATGTGCTCTGTCAGGAAATCAATGAGGTAAGAAAAACAAACGATGGGGTTCTATTATATGTCTATGGCACCAACTTAAAGCCGGTCATTTTCAAACATGGCTGATGCTCAAGTGAACAGAGCAAAGTTTCTTAAGATTTGTGAAGAAAAGTTCCCGTTGACTAATTCAACGAGCAAAACAATCCACAGGGACAAGGGTAGGAAAGTTATAGACTACCTCATCAATGGTACAAAGGGCAGCAATGCAATGCCCTACTGGGTAAAGAGAAGGAAGCTCAGCGTTCAGCAGTTCCCAAGCCTGGGACTGCACGATGTGCTCTTGCAGGAAATCAATGAGGTAAGAAAAACAAACGATGGGGTTCTATTATATGTCTATGGCACCAACTTAAAGCCGGTCATTTTCAAACATGGCTGATGCTCAAGTGAACAGAGCAAAGTTTCTTAAGATTTGTGAAGAAAAGTTCCCGTTGACTAATTCAACGAGCAAAACAATCCACAGGGACAAGGGTAGGAAAGTTATAGACTACCTCATCAATGGTACAAAGGGCAGCAATGCAATGCCCTACTGGGTAAAGAGAAGGAAGCTCAGCGTTCAGCAGTTCCCAAGCCTGGCAAAGTTATAGACTACCTCATCAATGGCACAAAGGGCAGCAATGCAATGCCCTACTGGGTAAAGAGAAGGAAGCTCAGCGTTCAGCAGTTCCCAAGCCTGGCAAAGTTATAGACTACCTCATCAATGGTACAAAGGGCAGCAATGCAATGCCCTACTGGGTAAAGAGAAGGAAACTCAGTGTTCAGCAGTTCCCAAGCCTGGGATTACACGATGTGCTCTGTCAGGAAATCCATGAGGTAAGAAAACAAACGATGGGGTTTTATTATATGTCTATGGCGCCAACTTGAAGCCGGTCATTTTCAAACATGGCTGATGCTCAGGTGAACAGAGCAAAGTTTCTTAAGTTTTGTGAAGAAAAGTTCCCGTTGACTAATTCAACGAGCAAAACAATCCACAGGAACAAGGGTAGGAAAGTTATAGACTACCTCATCAATGGTACAAAGGGCAGCAATTATGCAATGCCCTACTGGGTAAAGAGAAGGAAGCTCAGCGTTCAGCAGTTCCCAAGCCTGGCAAAGTTATAGACTACCTCATCAATGGTACAAAGGGCAGCAATGCAATGCCCTACTGGGTAAAGAGAAGGAAGCTCAGCGTTCAGCAGTTCCCAAGCCTGGCAAAGTTATAGACTACCTCATCAATGGTACAAAGGGCAGCAATGCAATGCCCTACTGGGTAAAGAGAAGGAAGCTCAGCGTTCAGCAGTTCCCAAGCCTGGCAAAGTTATAGACTACCTCATCAATGGTACAAAGGGCAGCAATGCAATGTCCTACTGGGTAAAGAGAAGGAAGCTCAGCGTTCAGCAGTTCCCAAGCCTGGCAAAGTTATAGACTACCTCATCAATGGTACAAAGGGCAGCAATGCAATGACCTACTGGGTAAAGAGAAGGAAGCTCAGCAGTTCCCAATCCTGGGACTGCACGCTGTGCTCTGTCAGGAAATCAATGAGGAAAGAAAAACAGAACTGAAAAATGTAGGCCAAGTTTTAGTACATGTACGTGTGTAGTAAGTGGCCTTTTTGGAGGTGTTTTATGGTAACACCTCAGTCGTGTGTCTCCCTTGATACAAAGTTACAACTTACACAGTCATTAGTGATTGCCAAAGTATTGTATAACTCCACTACGCTGACCTTCAAGGCAGCTGACCTGAAGCGCTACGATGCTTTTGGCAGGACGATATGGCGAACCCTGCTGGGCATGAAGTGGTCAGACTGTATCTCAAACGAAAGACTGGCAGAGATGATTGGCAGATGCTGGTGTCTTACAGGTGATGAGGTGTTAGAGCGGAAGGCTATGTGGTGCGCTCATTTGATGAGACAAGGAGGTCTGCCCTGCGCAGTTATAGGCGGTTTGCCTACGGGTACGAGGTGTGGCAGAGGTCGCCCTAAGCTGCGCTGGGTAGACAATGTGACGAAGTGGAGTGGCAGAAGTGTAGAAGAGCTGATAATAGCGGCGATTGAAAGAGAACAGGTGATGGTGGCGACCCAAGGGATACGCCCCCATTACAATCTGAGGACGAGGCGGCCACGGATGCAAGTCTATGCCGAATGATGATGACCTCGGTCATGTCGGTGGTCGGGTTTTAGTGACGTGACCACGTGCGCGTTTGTAATGTATCGTATCTGCATATATATTTTTTTTCTGAAAAAGTAAGTCCTCCTTTTACTTAAGCTTTAACTAGTGCAGGGCCCGTCGAAAATGTGCCTGTTAGGAAGGGGCACACGATTCAATGGTGTTGTTTTCACATGTTGAACGCACAGGTTTAAGTATCCATCGTTGATAATGGAATAGTCCCCCCAGTGGAGGTCAGCTATCTCTATCTCTAGTTGAAAATTTGCCTGTCCGGGAGCTGGTATTGGTTGCATGCTTGCAGAGTTTTTGAGAACTGCTCGTGCCAAGTTTGAAGTTGTTTGGGCGATTGGTTCTTGAAAAAGTTGCAAAATAGCGCAGATATTCACCCCTACTTGACAATGGTATTGCCCTGCAGTAAGGTTGCTCAGTTCACTGCAAAAATAATGTGCCCGTGTAGCCACCAGTTGTACGTGTACATTACATATACATGTACAGGGTATGCAGTGCTATTCATCCATGGTATCGCCGTACAATGCACGTGCGCATGCCCGTCCTTTTTCCATTGTTGCGTCATATTGAGCACGCGCGCTTTAGCTTTACATGACGTAAACAGGCGGGGTTTCCACCCATGTGCTTGTAAATTGCAACTACTGGTATACATGTATAGGCCATTAGCCTTGGGGTTTGGCGGGTATCAAATCAGGGAATAAATTATTTCAGTGCTCATGTGCAAGTATACTGCCCCTCGAGTGGTAACAAGCAGTTTGGTAAAAAACATATGTAAAGCTACTTGAATGCTCAGGGGATGACAAAACTAGCTGGAAGAGGTGGGCGAGACAGAAACTTACACAGAAGAAAACAGTACAAGAAGATGAGAAGTCATCTTACAAAGACCAAGAGGTTGTCCGAAGAGTTCTGAACAATAAATCTGGAACTATCAAGGAGATGTGTGATGAACTGATTGAAGATGCGCTCCATCCAGTTCTTGGGGTAAACATTTGCCAGCATTTGTTTACAGCTCAGTGGAAACATGACCAGTACAGAAACCTGAAAGAACATTTGGATGACAACACTGTCCTCATGGCACTGGACTTGGGGGAAATGTTTCCACCCAATTCCGAGAAGAGATCAAGAGTAAGAAACAAATATCTGTACACCCAATTGTGGCATACTACAAACAAGGGTCAGATGTTGTACGGGATGCAATGATTATGTTATCTGATAATTAACCTCCAGCATGACCACAATGCTGTGCAAACATTTCTGGAAAAAAACTAATCAATATCTGACATCTGATCTGACACACGACAAACAACTCCCATTACTGAGAGAGATTCATTTCACTGATGGTGCAGCATCTCCATACAAAGGGAGGGACCATAGCTAGTTGTCTATAGAGGCTTTCAGATGTATACCTTCCGAATCCAGCAGAAGCGGGGAGGACCTATGAAAGTGGTCCATTCTGGCAGACTTAAACAGTACCAGGGAAAAGTTGGTGCCCTGGCTGTACACTCCCAAAAACTGTGTGGTGTAGAGCCAAATCCTCAGGTGAGGGATTCCAGGGAGTTGGAGAGGATGGAGAGGATGAAAGGAATCTAGCTCACACAGACATGACAGAGAGGAGAGAATAGGTGCAGGACAAAGAATGTGTCCCTGAAAGAGAAAATAATGATGCAGAGGTGCATGAACCACCAGAGCTTCGTGATGAGAATAAAAATCATGATTGTTGTACAGTCCAAACCATCAGAGTCACCTCTAAGGAAAAACCTGTGGAAAAAGCAAGCCTGTGCTTCTTCTGGCCCCTTTAGCCTTTAGTCAAGGTCCACGTGACCCAGACACGTGACAGGTCCTGTATTTGTAGTGTATTGTATAATGATACATGTTTGTAGTCATTATTTATTGTATGCAGGGCCCCAATGGAAACCAGTTTTAAACTGTTTGTGCATACCCTGGGTAAAGAAATGAAATAAATATAATAAAATAGCCGGTCGTTTTCAAACATGGCTGATGCTCAGGTGAACAGAGCAAAGTTTTTAAAGTTTTGTGATGAAAAGTTTCTGTTGACTAATTCAACGAGCAAAACAATCCACAGGGACAAGGGTAGGAAAGTTATAGACTACCTCATCAATGGTACAAAGGGCAGCAATGCAATGCCCTACTGGGTAAAGAGAAGGAAGCTCAGCGTTCAGCAGTTCCCAAGCTCGGGACTGCACGATGTGCTCTGTCAGGAAATCAATGAGGTAAGAAAAAACAAACGATGGGGTAGCCCATGCCTAAAACAGAACTAAAACTGTAGGCCAAGTATTAGTACGTGTACCGGTAGTATAGTGGCCCTTTTGGAGGTGTTTTATGGTAACACCTCAGTCATGTCGGTGGTGGGTTTTAGTGACGTTTTAGCTTTACATGACGGTTTTAGCTTTACATGACGTAAACAGGCGGGGTTTCCTCCCATGTGCTTGTAAATTGCAACTACTGGTATACATGTATAGGCCATTAGCCTTGGGGTTTGGCGGGTATCAAATCAGGGAATAAATTATTTCAGTGCTCATGTGCAAGTATACTGCCCCTAGAGTGGTAACAAGAATTTTGGTAAAAAAACATATGTAAAGCTACTTGAATGCTCAGGGGATGACAAAACTAGCTGGAAGAGGTGGGCGAGACAGAAACTTACGCAGAAGAAAACAGTACAAGAAGATGAGAAGTCATCTTACAAAGACCAAGAGGTTGTCCGAAGAGTTCTGATCAATAAATCTGGAACTATCAAGGAGATGTGTGATGAACTGATTGAAGATGTGGTCCATCCAGTTCTTGGGGTAAACATTTGCCAGCATTTGTTTACAGCTCAGTGGAAACATGACCAGTACAGAAACCTGAAAGAACATGTGGATGGCAACATGCACTGTCCTCATGGCACTGGACTTGGGGGAAATGTTTCCACCCAATTCCGAGAAGAGATCAAGAGTAAGAGACAAATATCTGTACACCCAATTGTGGCATACTACAAACAAGGGTCAGATGTTGTACGGGATGCAATGATCATGTTATCTGATAATTAACCTCCAGCATGACCACAATGCTGTGCAAACATTTCTGGAAAAAAACTAATCAAAATCTGACACACGACAAACAACTCCCATTACTGAGAGAGATTCATTTCACTGATGGTGCAGCATCTCCATACAAAGGGAGGGACCATAGCTAGTTGTCTATAGAGGCTTTCAGATGTATACCTTCCGAATCCAGCAGAAGTGGGGAGGACCTATGAAAGTGGTCCATTCTGGCAGACTTAAACAGTATCAGGGAAAAGTTGGTGCCCTGGCTGTACACTCCCAAAAACTGAGTGGTGTAGAGCCAAATCCTCAGGTGAGGGATTCCAGGGAGTTGGAGAGGATGAAAGGAATCTAGCTCACACAGACATGACAGAGAGGAGAGAATAGGTGCAGGACAAAGAATGTGTCCCTGAAAGAGAAAATAATGATGCAGAGTTGCAAGAACCACCAGAGCTTCGTGATGAGAATAAAAATCACGATTGTGGTACAGTCCAAACCATCAGAGTCACCTCTGAGGAAAAACCTGTGGAAAAAGCAAGCCTGTGCTTCTTCTGGCCCCTTTAGCCTTTAGTCAAGGCCCGTGTGACCTGGACACGTGACACGTCCTGGACGCTGGCACGGAAAATAGTCTAACCCATGAGTGGCACTTATGTTTTTCTTTACATTTGTCTACCAATTTGATAGACAAATTTCATGCATAATGCATTGCAGTGACCAATGAAAACGAAGAATTACTTACAGCTGTTTAGACGATGTGACATAACACAGGCTCTCAAAAAAATTCCGACCAAAGCAAGATGGTGACTTCCAGCAATATACTGTCAGAAGCGATACCATCAATGACAATTTATTCCAGGAAAGTTTCAATTTCGCTGCCTCCAAACTGAACATTTCGGGGAAATTCAAACCTCAACAACGGCATGCATACAAGTGTGTTGGAAGGTAGAGATCTGTTCACAAACATGCCAACGGGTTTCGGAAAAAGCTTCATTTTTCAAGCCGTGCCGTTGTGTCACAATTTTGTTCAGCAGCAGCACAGTACTGACGAAGAACCATCGGGGACAGGTAGGCCTGCTGGAGCATGTCATTCGGCTGTGAGTGTTGTGATATCTCCACCATGAAGGCTAGGCCCCTCAGACATGAATTTTAGTGGTTGCCCAGAAGGGGCACTGAATGTATGTGCTACTGATACATGTTTCAATTCAAGATATTAATGGAAGGCACTCATAGGAGAGGGACATCTGTTGTGGGGACGAATGCCCTCTGTGAACTCCCACCCTCTTTGCCTCCATTGCATAACTCAAAATGTTATAGAATCACAGGTCGAGGATCAAGACAAACACATGTCAATGACAGCAGTCAATGGCCTCGGTGTCACTGGGAACTGAGTTGTAAGGTTGACAGACCTTCACAGGGATCAGAATTACTGCGTGTACACAGACAGGTTTTACACCTCAGTAAAACTGACAGAATTCTTGCTAACGCATGGAATACGACTGTGTGGCACAGCCATGACAAATAGAGTGTCTTTTCCTAAAATTCTAAAACAACGCAGTCAGGAACTAACGGAAGGGGAATCAGTGCTATTATTCAATGGAAAGGTAGCAGCTCTTGTCTGGAAGGATAAGAAGCCAGTGTATTTCGTCACGTCAATTTATGTGGATTCTCCAGGGACAACAGTGCAAAGGTATGATGCCAAAGAACACAGAAAGATCCCAGTCAACTGTCCCAAAGCTGTGAAGTCGTATAATGCAAACATGGGTGGAGCACTTGAATGGTCAAATGACAAGGCTGCACAAGTGCCGTCGCCATATTACAAATGGCCAAGAAGACTGCTCATGAAATTCTTCATGTGGGCAGCCTACAACAGCTACATCCTGATGGACTATTACAAGCCACACTACACACATCACCACAGAGTTTACACTTTCCACTTCTTTCTGGAAAAACTCTGTCTGGAACTGGTAAAGAAATGGAAGAAATATAAATAAATAAAGCCGGTCGTTTTCAAACATGGCTGATGCTCAGGTGAACAGAGCAAAGTTTCTTAAGTTTTGTGAAGAAAAGTTCCCGTTGACTAATTCAACGAGCAAAACAATCCACAGGGACAAGGGTAGGAAAGTTATAGACTACCTCATCAATGGTACAAAGGGCAGCAATTATGCAATGCCCTACTGGGTAAAGAGAAGGAAGCTCAGCGTTCAGCAGTTCCCAAGCTCGGGACTGCACGATGTGCTCTGTCAGGAAATCAATGAGGTAAGAAAAACAAACGATGGGGTAGCCTATGCCTAAAACAGAACTGAAACTGTAGGCCAAGTATTAGTACGTGTAGTATAATGTGGCCCTTTTGAAGGTGTTTTATGGTAACACCTCGGTCATGTTGGTGGTGGGTTTTAGTGACGTGACAACGTGCGCATTTGTAATGTATCGTATCTGCATACATGTATATTTTTTTTTCTGAAAAAGTAAGTCCTCCTTTTACTTTAGCAGTAACTAGGGCAGGGCCCGTCGAAAATGTGCCTGTTCGGAAGGGGCACACGATTCAATGGTGTTGTTTTCACATGTTGAAAGCAAAGGTTTAAGTATCCAGGGGGTCAGGAGGTCAACGCTCATGCATATATAATTCAGGGTTCAAAGGGTTAAGGGCTCAAGGCTAGATGGCACATCTGTCACGGTTGGTGATCTCAACCGACTGAGAGACGTCAAAGATGTATCCGGTGAATGTATGGATTTCTTTATGAGGTTAGTTTTAGGTTCACAAATTGCACAGATGTGCAAGCTGTGGTCAAGGCTTTGCCCAATGCTACTCTGTAGCTCTGGATGAAATGAACTTTATGGAATGCATGTGGGTTTTGGATCAAGGCTTATGGTTTACAAGTGCAACACAAAAATAGGTTTAATCTGACAACACAAGCATATATCTATTGATTTTCTCAATGATTGTCTTTTAAAAAGTTATGAGCACCTGAAACCAAAGAACAAGACACTACTCTGGCACCCAGTTCAAAGGCACGTGTGGGGAGGGATGCAGATTGCAAAGGGAGGGAAATCATAAAGTAAAATTAGGACAGTACAAATGGGAAACAGAATGAAAATTCATTTTTATAATTGGCTATATATGTACCTGGCTATATATGAACCTGCCAACCTGCAGCCTATAGAAAGAACATACTGTATGTGTTGTTGACATCATAAGTGTGCATGTTTGGATTTTTTTGCCTTGCACAGTACGGTGTACATGTACCAATACTTTTTGTCTCTTTATAGAAATTTGATGATCACCCTGGAGCCTGACAAGTTGCCATACTTTGTTGGACAAGTACATGTACCCGGTAGCTGGATGAACGCTCTAAGAGAGAGCAATGAGCTACAGCAACGTATGTCACAACATTCGCGGCATGGTTTAGGCATGTCCGCCTCTTGCGAGGATGGCAAAACTTGTATACCCGGTACTTATACCTGTTTGCATTCAGTAAGTCTGTGCCAAATATACATAATTCTTCAAAATTGCAGAAAATACATGTAAACTATTGGAAATTATACTATTGGAAATCATACTAAAGAATAACAAGTTCAGCTGGAACAGTGATGAAGCGATGAGCAATAACCTCCACAAGGTGTTGTGTGTTCTTGTTAGTTTCTATTGCCCAAATTCTCACAAGATAAAGTCCTAGGTGCTGATCAAGTACATGTACCTAGGCAGAGAGGCCAAGCGGGAAGCCTGACGGCTGGAGAGGAGAGAGAGAATGCAGAGAGTGTCTTTGGCTGACTGCCATGACTGCTCGAGACATAAGGGGATAAGACACCAACGTCTGCTCTCCTATAGCAATTTCATGGCAGGAGTCAAACTTCAGGTGAGACCTTGAGGGAGTTCTCCCTCACTCTTCAAGAAATCCTAGCAAGGTTCAGATCCCGAGGCCATTATCCATCCAGACAGACTCCTGCGAGATCGTTTTGTCACAGGCCTCATTGAATATGACATCCAGAAACCTCTCCCCCAACCCACACAAGAAGGATTCAGTTAATCCAATTTCAGATCAAGTCATTTCGTGGAGGCAAGATTTAAGAACACATAAACTCACACTCGAGGATTACAAGGAGGAATTGAGCAGTCACCTCGTCGGTGATAAACAAGATAAATTTATTTCGAGAATATTGGAAGGTAAAAAAAAGACATGTAAT